GTTCCACCAATCGTTCATATCATTAGGAAAATGAAAAGAAAGATTTTGGGATTAGAACTCACTTTAGAGAAGTAAATCCGTCCCTGCGCGTTTGCATTTTGTTCGGACGATTTAGAAGTCTTACACTACTCCGTTTAATGCAAACCACACCTTTAAGGATTCCTTATCTTGAGAGATTTCGTTTCGCACCTCACACGCCTTATTTGGATGAGTATAGCTCGAGATACGAACCAAACAAGACCAACACTCTCACTTCTCGAGTTCACTCAACCTCGATTATTGTCTGTAAGACTCACTCCTCTTGCTCAGCAACCATTCAATAATAAAACTAGACTTCAAAGGCTATCCAGGTACACCTTAATCACCTTATTTGGACGAATAGACTCCAATTATGGAGGGAGACAACGAGCACACTCATTTTGTGCGAAAATAGACTAGGTGAGTCTTCCCCTTTAATCTCATGGTCAAGTTCAGCCCCCCCAAAGTCAGTTGTGGCCCCCCCTAACATTATTTTTCTTGTCTTGCAGGTTCAAGGAAGATATGGGACGTACCTTGGTGTTCCCCAATTATTTTGGGAGCAAAATATCAATCAATACATCCAAAATGGAAAAATGGGTCATATTGTTTTATCTTTTGTCAAAAGATGTCTTTTTGTACTCATTTTAATTTATTTAGAACAAGTTACTCTCTACATCATATTATTGATCTCCAATATGTGTAGGATCGTCCTAATAATTTATATGATGAAAATTATAGAAGAATATCTACTCCCATTATTTAGCTCAATAATGTCAAAGATGAGACCATAAGCATTTGTATTCTTCGCTCTTAACCGAAGGTACAAAAACAGCCCCTAGAATGGGTGTTTTCTGGCGAACTTGTTTCCTAGTTTTTCCAAGGTTTGTTCTAGGTTAGTATCTAACCTTTACATCAACAAAATAACTTTATAAGGACATATTATACACTTGAAATAGTGTATAATAGTTCCACCAATCGTTCATATCATTAGGAAAATGAAAAGAAAGATTTTGGGATTAGAACTCACTTTAGAGAAGTAAATCCGTCCCTGCGCGTTTGCATTTTGTTCGGACGATTTAGAAGTCTTACACTACTCCGTTTAATGCAAACCACACCTTTAAGGATTCCTTATCTTGAGAGATTTCGTTTCGCACCTCACACGCCTTATTTGGATGAGTATAGCTCGAGATACGAACCAAACAAGACCAACACTCTCACTTCTCGAGTTCACTCAACCTCGATTATTGTCTGTAAGACTCACTCCTCTTGCTCAGCAACCATTCAATAATAAAACTAGACTTCAAAGGCTATCCAGGTACACCTTAATCACCTTATTTGGACGAATAGACTCCAATTATGGAGGGAGACAACGAGCACACTCATTTTGTGCGAAAATAGACTAGGTGAGTCTTCCCCTTTAATCTCATGGTCAAGTTCAGCCCCCCCAAAGTCAGTTGTGGCCCCCCCTAACATTATTTTTCTTGTCTTGCAGGTTCAAGGAAGATATGGGACGTACCTTGGTGTTCCCCAATTATTTTGGGAGCAAAATATCAATCAATACATCCAAAATGGAAAAATGGGTCATATTGTTTTATCTTTTGTCAAAAGATGTCTTTTTGTACTCATTTTAATTTATTTAGAACAAGTTACTCTCTACATCATATTATTGATCTCCAATATGTGTAGGATCGTCCTAATAATTTATATGATGAAAATTATAGAAGAATATCTACTCCCATTATTTAGCTCAATAATGTCAAAGATGAGACCATAAGCATTTGTATTCTTCTCTAATCATCCTATCACTTATTTATGACATTTGTATTTATATTATGGGGCTACAAGCCATGTGGGTCACCCTCGAGTGGGCCTAGGATGTCATTCTTGAATACTTACTATTTTTAGCAGGTTGAGCCCAAAGTAGTGTTTGGGCTGTCCGACCTTCCTTAATTTGTATCGACAAGTTATGTATCATTATTTAGAAAATGTTGGGCTCTTATATTCAATAAGATAGACCCAGATAAGTATTTGAAAGCCCATCACTAATATACGAGCTCGAACGGTAAAATAATCAAACGTGCACTGCGTAAAACATTAGTCGTTTTACATTTGTTTGGTAAAAGGAAATGTAATACGTAAAATTTGAATTTTAAATTGAATTTCAAGGACGTTTGGGTGCGGTGTTACAAGTTCCACCAGCCTGGTGTTGAAAAGAAAAATAAGAAGTCTGGGAGCTGGATGCTCCCTGTGAGCCACTCCCACTGTATACCAACTCAGATACAAAGCCGCCATATTAAATAAAAGTTACATATGGATGAAACTCGGACTTGGAATCACGCCTAAAAAGGGCTCAACTTGCTTTATCCTAAAAGGCTAAAGTGGCTAAAGAGTTATGGAAAGGCAAACGGAAATATGAAAGACAGTTTCCAGATTTTTCAGCCATTACCAAGCAAAGAGCAGTTTGGTCAGCCTCCGCCAAAGGTCCCACTTTCTCATCACCAAGATCCACAATCACTAACGGTGTTCTCCAGACAGCACCGTCGACGTTTCTTTTATCTGCACCATCAACATGAATGTTTGCTTGAGCACCATCCTCGCAAACCATTTCAATGACTTTGCGCTTCCATGGTTCTTATTCCGGCGGAGTAGCCACTTCCTTAACCTTTGAGATTAGACCTTCCACCACATAGGTGCCCTGATCAACCATGGTTCTACCCCGGGGAATCCAAGATCTCCCCATCACCCGTTCTGTCACTTAATCCGTTGTTGTTAGGAATCAGCCACTTGTTTCTCATGTGCAAACCACCGCGTCTCATATGGTTAATTTCTCATCAATCCAAGGGCCACAGTGTAGATTAGAAGGGCAGAAACAGTGTGCTTGACGAAGTATCCCACACATGAAGCGGGAATTTGGGAGTCTTTCCTATCGAAAGTCTGCCCGTATACAATTGTTCCCCCTCTCTTGTCGTACTTGAAAGCGCATGGTCAAAGTCACATTGATGTTAATGGCAACTCTAATACGCAAACCAATATGTGTTTTCCTCCAAGAGAGCGTTCATCAAAGATGACAATATTCCCAATTCCACGAGCGGCCTTAGTCATCGTGTACCCTAGCGGTAAATTGTGGACATGGACCCAAACTCTGCACAATCCAACGGCACTTCAAGGGACATATCAGTACGCCCAAACCTCTTATCACCACTAGGTTTTGTTAAATGACCAATGTCTTTCCTAAATGACTCTGCTAATATCTCCTTTATGGTAAAACTCAATAAGAAACTTAGATTCACATATCTCATCAATAGAGACTCCCTGAACTGGTCTTCAAACCATAACCATGGTTTCACTATAGGAAATAGGACATATAGGTTTATCCGAAACCACTATGACCACGGTTGAAAATCAAACTCTCTCATCGGCCGCACCAACACTCCTTGCCAAATCTGCTTCGAGAGCCAAGTCGTTGTTCTCTTCCTCAGTATAATTATTACTATATAGAGACCTTAGTGTAATTTTTCTTGAATACTATAAGACATGGGAAAGGTGAACAACTGAATAGTTGACCATCAATTGAGTGAAAAAGCGTAAATCTAAGCGCACATAGCGTTAAAAGGCGGAATGTTTTTAGATAGATTTTTTTTGTAAAGACAAATTAAAAAAATACTTCATAAACATATTATATATGGAATCTAGTGCAAAGTAGTAAGAATATACTACGGGAGTACCTCCGTAACTGATATATCTTCCCATTTGAAAAGTAAGTGAGATTAAGAATAGTGGAAGTAAATATAAATTATTGAGGGTTTGTTGGTAAAATAATGTGTTGGAATGAAGGATAAATCCAAAAAAGTAGTTGTAATTGTGTATTATTTTTAAAATTATTGAGGGTATGATGAGAAGATTTGGAAATGAGAAGATATGAATGTTACAGCTAAAAAGGGAAAGCGAGAAGATATGAGTGTTACGGAGGGAGTACAATATATCATTTTGTATTAGCAATTTTTATACATTTAAAAATTATATACATTGAATAAAGTAAAATTAGACTCAATATATTGTATTAAACTCCATCCGTGCACTAATAATTGTCTCATAATTTTTTTGAGATGTTTTTTACCAATTGCCCCCTTTCCTCTTTTACCAAGCGTTTCCTATCAAAATATCTTTATATGTTCACATGTATTATCCTCACTTTTTCTCCATTTTACAAATTACGAGGACCTTTTATTTTATACTTATTTAAATCTAAATGGACAATTATTAGAGAGGTGGAGTCCATTTTGGACTTTTATTTTTTCTTCACATGTCACTTCAAAATAGGACAAGAAAAGGTGACACGATTATTAATAAAAGTGGGTTTATGTGGTTGATATTAAATTCATAAAGTAAGAATAAAGTAGAAATGATTTAGAACCACACAAACTTTACCAAATAAGGTATGAGACAATCTTAGTGGGACGGACCGAAATGGTAAAATGGGACAATCATAACGGGACGGAGGGAGTAATTATCAATATCTATTAGGAAAATTGTCAAATAGGTTCTTGAACTTTCATAAAAAAGTCAATTAAGTCCTTTTATAGGAGGTTTTGTCCGGCTGTCGCGATTTGGGGCAGTTCCCGGTGGAATTTTTTGATGAAATTTTTTGATCATCTTATTCATCAAGCCTGCTTTAGTCATACCAAATTTAAGCTAAAAATTTAATCGAGAGCGCATTCAAATTAATTCGAGAACGCAAAAATGCGTAGTTATCTTCAAGAATTAATCTGAATGTGTTCCCGATTGAATTTTTAGTTGAAATTTGGTATGAGTAAACTAGACTTGGTGAATAAGATGCTCAAAAAATTTCATCAAAAAATTCCACAGAGAAATGCCCCAAATTGCGACAGCCGGACAAAACCTCGGACTTAATTGACTTTTTTATTAAAATTCAATGACCTATTTGACAGTTTCCTCATAAATGAGACTTTTTCTCTCTTTTTTGGTCTACCCGGTTCCCGCCCAAAACAGCCTGCCACACGTCATTATCTGCGAGGAACCAGAAGGCAGATGTAAGAAGTCAGAAACCGTCCGCGAAGAAGTCGAGCAACCCCATTACAGAACCTCCAAACCCGAAGGTTTTGTTAATTCTTTTAGGGATGTGTGGTTGTGAATTTTGAGATATTGGTCCGATTTATTGATTATGGATGAGTGAATAGGTGTGGTAATTTTGCTATTAGAGTTAATCTCATTAAATAATGGTTGATAACATTCTATTACAGAGTAAATTGTGAATATGTTAGGTAGGTATTTTGACTTAGAGTAGCATCTGGATTCTGCTCTGCCCTACTTTCTTTATTTCTGGCTATTATCATTTTTTTTTGTTTCTATTGGACATTTTATATTCTTACTTCCTTATATACGTCTAGCCCATATCTTAACTTGGACTTTTTTTAGGATGACAAATTATTATGAGGTTGATGATATCTTAGCTGAAGAAGAGGTCAGATTATCCATTTCTTGAATTGCATTACGAATCCAAATTTTGTGGAAATCAATACTCTTCTTTTAATTAAACAATTTTTGTGATATTTCTTCTTCTTCTTTTCATGTCTTGATTTTAGCTGGTTCCAGCTGTATTCCAGAAGTCTGCCAATGGAGTCGGGATATTTGATTGCTGTGATGATACAAATAAGGTTAGGACTATTATTTGAAAAAGGCATTTTATAAGTATGAGGGGCTTTAACTGCAAAATCAAAAGATGATAAGGATACTTCAAACTCTAAGGTGGGAGCCGGTACTGAAGTGGAAATGCCCTTTTGGCTTGCATGTGACCTGTATGTTAAACAAGCAGTGAAGATCAAAGTTCCGTCATGTTTTGACACCAAGTAAAGTTTGCATGCTCCCTCTTTGTTTTATCTATGCTGATAATAATGGCATTGCATGATTTAAAAATAGAAATTAGGGAAAAGTACTGAAAAAGTTCTTGTGGTTGGGTCTGTTTTGAAATAGGGTCATGTGTCTCATTTTTTAATAAAGTCGGTCATGCGTTTAAACTCCGTTATCACAGGAGGGGTCTAACGCCTAACGCCATTAAAAACGCCAGAGGAAGACGAAGAATAGTAACTCCGTTTTTCAAAAGTGTCTAAAAAAATTAAAAGAAAAATTCCGGAAGGTGCGTCTCGTCAAGTTGACCTACAAACTATCTTTGTCTTTGGATTTTTTGGATATGTTTGGATTTTATTTTTAAATGAATTCGCTAATATCACTTTTCTAGTGGACTCTCCGGTGACAAGGGTGGCTGGAAACAAAAAAGAAAGATGTTCTAGAGGTTGTCTTGTTGAGGCACACTTCTCATAATTTTTCTTTTATTTTTTTTGGGCATTTTGAAAACCGGAGTCACTGTTGATCGTCTTCCTCCGGTGATTTTTAATGGCGTCAGGCGCCACGACCTTCTTGAGATAACAAAGTTTAAACACATGGTTCACTTTGTTAAAAAACGGGCCCAACAACATGTACCTTTTCCGTGCTTTTCCCTCGAAATTATAAGAGATATGACAATCGGCAATTGTGTTTGTATAGAGTGAGAAGGCGCTGCCCCTTAACTTTGCCTATCTACAGCGTACTGATTGATCAACATGATGCATATATGCATCCATATCAAGAGGGTTCCAATTCACTCTTCATTTGGCAGCATTGCAGTACCGTATTTAAAAAAAGCTAACAGTAGCATATGTTAAACTAAAGTATGGGCTATGGAGCTAGTGAGCTAAAATATGTTAAGATATGGGCTATGGAGCCAGTGAGCTGCAATGCTCACCTTTGGGTCCAATATATTCTTCATTTTGCATTTTTGCTACTCTGTCACTCTGAATGACCTCATGACAAATTCCAGAAATCTACTTTTATTTAAGTTTTTACTTGTCCACATCATTTATTTCTCAATCTCTATACTGTTCAACAAATAATAATAACGGTCACAAAAGTTCTAAAATTGCAAAACATTTACTCGGTAATTAAGAGATCAACTAAGCTGATATACAGTTTAAGAAGTTTCGTCTTGAACTCCTGATTCATCCCTTGTAGATGCCCGTGCCTCTGAACTAGGTCTTGTTCAGTGTAGCAAATGAAGTGGATTTTTACCTTAACCCTTGCTATACTTGATCTGAACACTTGACAAGAGCTGAGATCAAACATCAAGTTTGCACTATACTCTTCTTTAGTAGAGGCTCAGTGCAAATTATTGTATAATGTCTTCATTTGTGGTTAATATGACCTTCATTTATGCTATGTTATATATATATCTCTGCTCTGGGTTGTCAAATTTTTTATAGCTAGGCTGTATGCCTAAAATTGATTTCAAAAACTCAATTCCTTCTGACCTTTTAAAAGTGAATATTATTGTAATCTATTCACTAGAGAGAGACCAAGAGATAGACACCGCGATGAACCAATAAGAAAAAGGGACAGAACGAAGGATGAAATTGGAGCTGATGCTGCACATGTGGATCTGAGAGGTCGATGCCCATATTTTTACGAATTCGGATGCAAGATAGCAAGACTGTGAGTTACTTATATCTTTCTGCATTATATGGTGCATCAAATAAGGGGTGGACTTGGGCTGGTTCCTGTTCTGGAACTGCAGTTTTCTGGATCATGTTTATGAGAGAACCTTAACTGGAACCGCTTTGTGCCGGTACGGTCTACTTGCAATTCCTGATTCGGTTCCACGGTTCCAGGCTGGAATTATAGTTCATTAGCTATTAAAAAAGTACCTTTGGGGAACTGGAACCGGAACTGCCTGTACTTCTATCATCATTAAACCCGTAACAGGAACCTATATTATATCAGTCTGGTTCTGGTTCTTGCTTATCCGGCTCTGATCTGGTTCCAGATCCACAGGTTCTGACAATTCAATTACCAAATGCGCACACACATAGACACACACACACAATTATAATCAACTCGGTGGTTTTGAATAATGTTGGCATTTTGACACAAATTAATCAAATCAGTAGTGTAGAATCTAAAGTACAAAGTATCTCATACTACGTACTTATTATGTTTCATGCGTGACAGTCTTTTGTAACTCCGAGCTTGCTAATTTGTTACTCCCTCTGACCCTATATAAAAGTCCCTCTTTCCTTTTCGAGCCGTCCCTAAATAATAGTCCCCTTTCCTTATTTGGCAAACAAAACAATGCAAAACAGTGTCCAAACAGTGTCCAAACAGTGCCACCTTCTTAAAATGTGTGTAAAACGAATGGGGACCTTTATATAGGGACGGAGGGAGTATTAGGTACTATGTTGAATATGATTGCCATTTTTTGCTTGCGACCTCATTAAAGCTCAATAGCTGTTGCCGTGCTATGTTTTTGGGTTCTTAGGATGTTTTTACTTGGACTGTAATTTGTCCCAGATCAGACCAGTCCAGACCAGAATGTTTTTAAAGCTCAATAGCTGTTGCCGTGCTATGTTGAATACCTTTTGCTAACTTTAGTACCACAAATAGTACTCCATACACTCGTCTTTTTCCTTGCATATCATGCCAAATATATGCCTAAAGAATACAGATATACAATCCAAAACACATACATACATACATACATACGGAAACAAATAACACAAATATTCTACACCCGAAAGCAAGTGCTTCCATAACATATACAACAGTTTTCAAAATTGTGACCACACACAGCTTTCAAAAGCAGAAGACAAAGAAACTGAAATTAGATTTGCACAAAGACGGGCTCGGGCCAGGCTTTTTATAAACATTCCACCCATTGGTGTGGGCGGGTCCGGAAAACTTTGAATTTTTCAAAATTATATAAAAATCTTTGAATATTTTAAAAATATCACAACATTTTAAAAATTGTTAATAAGCTTAAGGCTGGTTTGCAACCACTTTAAAAAAAGCACTTCTCAGCTTTTGGCTTAAAAAAGCACTTATTTACCAAACACTACCAATTTTTTATTTTTCTCGGCTTTCGTGTCAAAAGTGCTTTTCCACTTTTTATACACCAAAAGCACTTGTTTTACCAAACACTACCAACTTTTACTTTTCAAAATCACTTTTTTCTCAAACACTATCAACTTTTACAAATAATCACTTTTTCCAAATCACTCCAAAAGTGCTTTTTTTAAAGCAGAAGCTGTTGCAAACACTCCCTTATAGTGTTTATATGCCACTCACCACATACACAAAAATACTTGCACAAAAATAATCATGAGAAATTATAACTAAAACTTAAAATTCAAGCACAAAGTATTATCTTTAAGTATAAAAAACAGATATTATATTGGTTGGGCTAGTTGTTAAGAACTAAAAACATAAATTTAAACATAATAAACTATAAATGTATATATAAATATATATATATATATAAAGATAGATTAGTAAACATAGATATACACGTTTACATGTAAATAAATAAATAAATTATTATACATATAAATACAAATATACATGTATATATACTAAATTTAGCGGGGCTGGCATATCGGCCCCTAATGGGCCTACACCCTAACCCAAGCCCACCCATATGCTATTGCAGGCCGGGTCCGGGCCGGTGGATAAATATATATGCCCAAGCCCGCCCATTTGTGCTGGCTGGGCGGGCTGGTCGGTTTTTGTGCAGGTCTAACTGAAATAAATACAACAAAGCAAATCTGATTGTTTGATAACACAATAGTGGTGTGAATCTAGTGTTAACAAAAACCAATAAAATGCTTATCGTCTTTCTGAGTGGCTTAATTTCAAAGCCCTACTCAACCTCCTGTTTAATTGTTATCTTCAGCTTTTTCCCATCTTTATTAGCAGAAAACTCATGCATCAAGTTTCTCTTAATCGGGTCATCCAGATTTATAACAACTTTTTCTGAAAAGATCTCACATTTGGATGACATTAGTTTTTAAAAGCCCCAAGTAACAGTAAGGTTTAGAACAACTTTTGTTCTATTTTTATATGTTAAGAAAACCTTTTGTGCTTTTGAATAACTAATTGACAGACAAAATGGTCTCGTATTACTTCCATAAATGAATATAAGTTTACCTCCTGATAATGGAAAACCAATTCAAGTAATCAAGTGTCTATCCTCCCTTAACATGTGCTGGCACCTCCTAAGTTCTCACAGCTCGTACCCTCATTGCCCATGTAGACCTTGTGTGGTCTATATCCCGAATAAGAGACCACATACCATTTTTTTGAACTTTCTGCCATTGATGTGTTGTATTGTGCTGAAGAAATGTGCAAAGTAGTTCGTATTTATAGTAGGTGTGGCTGGGGTGTCCTCAAACGGAAGGCTGTTTTATCCAAGAAACAATGCTATTCCATAAACCTTACTGTGAGTAATTAATGAATTGGATGTAATTCAAGCTAAAAGATTGTCCCTTCGTCCCTTCAGTACAACTATGAAAGCACATGTGAATGACAGCTTCTGCTTTGTGTTACTCTTCTATTGCTAAGTCTCAAGAGTCTCACCTCAACTCAGAGGAATGGAGTTCGTATTTATAGGTGAGGATGGTCAATGACCTGGCCTGGCCACAGCCCCACAGGCCTCTATTGGAACATCAGTTGTCCTTCCATTGAGATTGCCGAGGATGTGTTTTACAGTTTATACCACTATAAATCTCTCCATCAACTTGTCACCATCTGTTTGATCGACCCACAGAGGTCAATACGTCAATCAATTTTGTTTGCTTGTAGCTGCGATGCAGCACATCAGGTTTAATGCTTATAGTACACTGGGTTGGCTGGCCCTACTGTCAACTTGATGACTTGCTGCTGCTCTTCCCCCCAGATTCTTGGCTGGGCCCATCCTCCGGACTGGTCTGCCTATCATTTGCACTGGGATGAATGTTGCTTGGGCCAGTATCCCAACACTAGTGTTTCATATCATATTTTGATGGTAGTGGGTTTAATGTTGTTTTGTAACTGTAACACTTTTTATTTAAGGGGCAAAAGGCCTCATGGCTTAAAAGCCATAACAATACCAAATTGGGCCCATGTCATTGACATCAGAAGTTGATGTCTTAATGTTTTTCTTCCCACAACCTTTTCTTTTATTTTCTGTCTTTTTAGAACTACTTTGATAAATTGCCTAAACCATAATATTGGGCAGAATCGGTGACAAGACAATAGGGCCTTTTCTGTTGGTTGCATTTCGGACAAGATATAAAGAAGTGTTGATCAAAGCATACACTGCAGCATCTACAGTAGCTATTAAACAATTACCACTTCTAACACAGGAAGAGATGAAATGTAAGTTTTGCTGAACCTGTTTTACCTATATATGTCATCTTGATTCTTAACTACCTTTTCAGTATTTATTTACTTATTATTTAAAAAACATATGCTCATTTTGAAGTGTATGAGGCTGGGCAATCCTCTATAATGGCTTTTAAGAAATGGCGGATGGGTGGACCTAGACTGCAGAAAGCTTCTGTGCTTGGGAGAAAGAGGAAACCAACCGAATGAGTTTTTTCTCTTTTTGTAACCATATCTCAGTTAGTTATTTGCACAAAGTGTACTTAATTATCATCTTAATAGTCTTACACCTCATGATTGATCTTCACATTTGGACAGATATCTCGAATGACAATTCTGAGTATCTTGTATCCTAAAATATTATGTGGCCAGTTCTGTAAATCGTTACAAAAGAGTGATTGTAATAATATACATATGTTTAACATTAGATATTAAGTAAACGTCAGCTTCCGGACAGGTTGAGTTGAGTTGGGAGACAGATGGCTGATTTACGGTAAAGGTGCTGCTATTGGCGACTTACAGGGGAGCTCTCACATGAGGAGTGGACGGGCTGGACGAAAGTGTGGCAATGGAAGTTTCCTCCGAAAATTAAAACCTTCGTCTGGCAGGTTTGTGGTGGTTGTTTACCAACCACATCTAATCTAAGGCATTGTAGGGTGGATTGTCCGGAGGTTTGTGGTATGTACGGGACAGCGACAAATCAGTTTTACACTCATTTGTCCAGTGTCCTTCGGCTCGGGAAGCCTGGTGTAACCTGGGAGTGAGCTGGGCAGGTCAGTCGAGTGACTCATTTCATGGCTGGTTGCATGCTAATTTTCGAGTAAGGAAGGAGGACATGTGTATTTTAATTTGGGGTTGTTGGGGTTTATGGCGTGAGAGGAACCAGTGAGTTTGGTGATGCGTTGAATCGGAGGTCAGCCAAGTCGTACAGCGGACTATGGCTTTCGTAGAAGGCTTGATCTAGGCGCAACAAGTTGGTAGCAGAGGGGACTGTAGTTCCTCTCGTTGGCAGCTTCCGGCTGAAGGTAGGAAGAAACTTAGAGCCCGTTTGATAACACTAAATCGGTTGAATAGGTTGATTCTATTGAAATTTATGAAGTTCTGGTTGAAGTGACTGTATGACATGATTCTGCTGATTTATGAAAAAATTATATTTAATATATATTTTATTAATAAAATAAAGAAAAAAAGTATATAAAAAAATAGTTTAGGGTTTAGGGGGTGGGGGGGTGGGGGTGGGGGTGCAAATCAAATCCCGAAATCGGAGAAGAAAAACCGCGACTTGCGTGCGCGGGCGACCTGCGGACACGCATGTCGTCCAAAAATCTATCTCTCAAGAGATATGGTTTAATTTTTGTTTTCTTCTCGAAGTGTTTATTTTTTCCCGGCGGCGGAAGTGTTCGGACAGAAGGCTACGAAACAGAACCCCTCATATGGTGTTCTGTTGGCTTCGGACAGAACCTCTCGTAGGGTGTTCTGTTGGGAGGTCTTTTGGTCGCGTTCTGAACCGTTACAGTAATAAATTCCCAACGTTCTTATCTTTTAAAGTTTTAATGCAACTTGCAACGTTAAATGAACAGTTCATGGACGATTCAATGCCCAACGGATTGGTCATTGATGTCCAACGTTCAGGTCCATTAAATCACCATCTACACACAACAAATCCTCTTATATAATGGCTGACAGGTGATTTGCAACAACACACTTTCTTCCACGCTCTTACACATTCCTCACATATTTCTCAGCTCTAAAAACACCTCCAGTCCTCTAAAAATTCCTGAGAGTTCAAACTTTGTTCTCGTTCGCTGGAACTCTTGTTTGTGTGCTCAAACATTAGTTCGTAGTCATCGTATTCTGGGAAACGATTGTTGCAACGCTCCTAGCACCGTGGGAGACAACAGATACGTTTTAAGGACATCGTGCGTAGCATGAGCTTTGACTAATTTCTGCTCCATCTTATTTCTGTTTCGTCATTTTAATTAAATTATTTTAATTAATTTTCTTTATTTTCGGAAACACACCCAACAACAACTACACAAAATAATCAAAACTAAAGTGAAAGGGAAACTAAACTAATCTTTTACAAAAAAAAAGTTATAGTAACTATGCAAACTAATCTCTTCTCGCACAAGTGATACTTCGTATATATTTTACAAATTATATGGTACAAACTATATACGTAATATATGAAGTATTTACATACGTAGTAATATATTAAATATACAATCTATAAAAATATATAAGATGATATTGCGGGACAGGTAATGGTGCGGGTAATTGTACTTGGACTAAATGGGGCGATTACGGGGCGGGTAACGGGGTGGGTAAGTATAAAATCGTGCCCGTCCTATTACACATTTACATAAATCAGGCATTCCCCGTCCCGTACCCGCTACCCAAGTCAACACGGGTTTTTCCCATTTTGACCGGTTTGGTTCAATGCGGGTATCCATCGGGTCAGGTTACATTGTCATGCCTAGGCGTGGATCTTGCTGGTGGTACTGATGACGCCATCTCTATGCTTTTGTAGTAGGAATTATTTTTGTAAAATGTTTAAAAGTAGGGATTATTAGTGTCAATTTCGCCAAAAATGTACTTCGTATCAAGTAAACATAAACTCTACTAATGAGGTCCAATGGAATAATTGCCGAAAAACATTTACCCAGTTTTATCAGTTCGTATACCGTGGGATCATCCCACGGTGAGCACCATGCTCCACCTTCAAAATGACATTTTAATCAATGTTTTTTTTTAAATCGCGTGAACAGTACACGCGTGAACAATACTTCTTTTTTATTTTTCTCTTGTTTCAGTTGCAGAATGGTGTAACTCACGTGTAAAGAAATGTAACTCACATTATTGATGAATGTAACTCAAGTCTAGTCAAAGGTTCTATTGACCTTTTCAAAAACATGATACCTCTATTATTTTTGGACCATTCTTGGTTTACACAAGTTGTACACAAAATGTGTACATTGTCCGTGTACACAGACAATTTGACATCAAGTACTGCCGCTTTTTAAAGGAGGGTTTTGTGTACACTAAGCATTTTCCATTATTTTTTGCAAAAGAAAAAGATAAACTGCGCTGAACCCAGAAATACAGCGACCCACACCAGTACACCACTGCCACACCACGCCTTCACCACTCCAAACAACCACGTTCCAAAACCACAACTAATGACTCAAATAGGATCAATAGCAAAGTTAATTGCACATTTAGGACTACAAACGAAACATAACTTTCATAGGACTAATTTCAATACAGTTGGACAAAACTACCCCTCTTTTAATTTTTTAAATTTAAAAAATGTAAATTAAAAATTATTGAAACTAGCACCGCCGCTGCTGGAGCCAAACCGCTGCCTGCCGCCCTACGTCGGCACAGCCTGCCGCCACCCTTGCCGCCTTGCCGGTGACGGAACCACCCGTCGCCGCCCTCGCCGCCTGCCGCCGCATCCTTGCCGGCGACTGTCTCCATCCATCACCGCCACCTTGCCACCTCCACTTCCCATCCACCAGCGTCGCCATCCACCGTCGCCGCCACCACCTCTCACCGGCGCCGCCATCTATGCCATCAGAATCTGACCGGAGTCGTCATCCACCGCCACCACAATCCTCTGAGCACTGTCACCACTGTGACAACTTAGGCGGAATAAATCTGCCATTAAGTTGGCAGATTTATTGTTGGAGATTATATTCACATCTGCCATGAACAAGAGTTTCAAATCTGCCAAAGAGTTGGCAGATTTATATTGAAATTTTAACATAAAACTTCCATAAATTTGGCAAAAATAGAAAAACATGGAATAAATAACCAATTACTCAAAGGACAATTTTTTTAATGGAATAAGCATTTTTAACACAATCGAAAATTAGAAAAGAGAAGTTGTTGACAAAAAATCAGAAAAATCAAGTTATACAAAAGCATTTCTGCCATAATTTTGGCCAAATATGAAGCAATCATCCAAAAAAAATTGAAAATCGGATTTTTTTCAAAACTGAGATATTAGAATCCAGAAAATTGAAATAGAACTCCGAAAATTGGAAAAATCAATTCAAAATCCAGAAAAACAAAGGAAACCCGGATAATAATAATAATAAGAAGAAGAATAAGAAGAAGAGGAAGAAGGAGGAGGAGGATGAGGAAGAAGGAGGATGGAGGGGAACCTTAGTGGCAGCAGCATATGGTGAAATTGACAGCAACGGTGGCGTGAGATGGCAATGACAGCGGCGGCGTGAGATGGCGAAGACAGCGGCAACGTGAGATGGCGAAGTCAGCGGCGGCGTGAGATGGCGAAGTCAGCGGCGGCGTGAGATGGCCGGAGAAGGCGGCGGCGATGGTTAGTGCGAAGTTGATTGATGACGCGCAAAGAAGAAAGGGGGAATGTGCGCAAGAGAGAAGGTGGGGGGAGGTTGTGCGCACAGGAATAAGTGGAATGGAGAGGTGCGTAAAAAAAGAAGGATAATAGTGGAATGGAAAATACGCAGGTTTTAGAATAGGAGTAAATTAGTCCCATTTGGGGAAAAAACATAAATGGTCCTATTTAAGAATTTCTCCCATCTTTTAGTCGTATATAGGACAATTACTTTTTTTTTCTTTCGAAAGGGCCGTATTCTTGTACTATTGTAAGTTGTAACCTTCTTCATTCCCTTCCATTTTCGGGGTGTTTGGAACTCATTTTGTTTCTGTTTCTTTTTTTAAAACAGAAGTATAATCAGAATCAGTTTTCAGAAGCTGGTCTTCTAAAAACTGATTCTAGGAGTAAATTAGAGAAGCAGAAGTACTTCTGCACTTTCACCCAAACACTCCAACTTCTATTTCTGCTTCTATTTTATACTCGTAATTATTACTTTTTTTAATCTTTTTTTCATTTTCTATTGAAATTGCAATTTGGAAATCTATTATTATTGTTTTTCTTTTTGCCTATTTTACATTTCTAATTTTTCTACTCCCTTAACAAGTACGTAGTAACATTTTGCTCAAACGCTAAAAACAAGTTTTTGAAAGGCGAAATCGGGCCCAAGGCGGTTGGTGGTAGCCTCTGAAGCATAAGGAGGCATAAAACTCAAAATGAATTGTTAAAATATTGGCACAACATATCAAACACACCTCTGTCACGAAAATGTTTGCCTTATCGACTTTTCGTGGTCAATGATAACAAATTTTGGACAATGATTTTAATTATTATATTTGTATATATTTTATAAAATTTATATGTTTATGAAAATATTTTGAAAAAGGAACATTTTGATATAATTTTCATATTCTAAATAATTTCGTATTAAGAAATGTCATTGGTCACATTTGATTGTTATTGACCACGAAAAGTCAATTTGACAAATTTTTTCAAAACGGAGGGAGTAATATTGATAAATCACAAATAAATAGAACTTAGCACTAAAATATCTTAGACGAATTAACATAAGACTTAAAATACTTAAGTCAAATTTAAGTAAATTTGAATTGTTAAACTTAATAACCAAATTATCGATGATCTTTAATTAAAGTAAGTAAGATAAAATTCATAAGAACAATTCATATTTTTAGAGGGTTTACAATAATAACTTCTACTCATAGTATCTATAAAAATAATTGTAACTAATAATGGTATTCACATGAATAAATTGGAGTGAGTTCAAATAATGCACGTTTAATACTTGCTACTTTGTCCCCACTTATAAAATGTATAAAATGAAATGTTCAACTTTCATTCTTTTGAAAGGAAAAACTGCTTATATTAATATCATTATGATTCAGATCGTTACAATAAATTCAAAGAGACCAATACTGACAATAACTATCAAACGAGTGCGACACAACAATCACTGACCATATAGGTCTTTCTAACGACATAATGTCTAGCAGAATTGTCAAAAATAAAGGTATCAACAAAAAACGCAATGTAAAACATAACGCGAAAATGAAACCATAAAAAATAAAATAACTTATAAATCTTCCAAATCCTAGCTCCCCGATCACTCCAAGGCGGTGGTTCAGGAGGGAGGTGGACCGCTAATCTGTCTTCTCCCTTGCTCAGCCATTCACCTTCCCTTGTCTGCTCGTTGCCCGTGGCGGTAACGGAGTGTGACATTGCTCCGCTCTTGACATGCGAGAGAAAAACCCAGCTCTCAACTCTCGAGAGAAACCTACCTCTCGAGTCTCGACAAGCGAGAGAAACCTACTTGAGTCTCTATCTAAGAGTGGAAGGCTGCGGAGCAATTTCCACTACTCAAGGATGAGGGTTTTGGGAAACCCTATGCATCGAGAGCTTGTCTCTCTTGGTGATGGCAACCAAGCTACGTAGCATGTACTGTATATGATTAAACTCAAGAGTGGATCGACTTTCATTCTTATTAGTTAGTTTTAAAATACGTATAATTGTTGGAAAAATGGTTTTACAAATTAATATTATGGTCATTAATATTATTTGTAAAAATCATTTTGAAATGAATGAGAAATTATTCCCCGAAAGATAAGCGTGAAATTATACTTAACACGCATACACTGCCGCCGTCAGTCGGTCAGGTTCGGGTCTTTGACGAGTCAACAATCGGGCTTAAGATAGGAAGATTTATTTTTGCTACGTTTTTCGGATAAAACCAAATAAAAGACTCAACCATTCGTTTTAAAAGAAAGGTCATGAACTTTCTTTTAAAAGGTGTCTTTTGGGTTAAGAGACTCCTGACCAGAGCTCTATAAATACCCGCCTTGTCTTCACTTTTGATACATTCGAAAATTCACAAACAATTCCTCAAATTCTCTCTTCCTTCGTTGCATCTTTGAGTTCGCCGGAATCCCGTTGGGAGCGAAGAACCGTTCTATCCTGGGAGACGCTTGCTACGTGTGTCGGGCAAAAACGTCTTAAAGAGACAACGCTTTTGTTGGGCTCGGTTGATACAAGTATTTTCTTGTACTTCTATTTATCTAATTAGTGCATGCAGATATATATGAATTTGGATAACACTAGCTATATCGTGTTTGTCCTGTTTGACCTTTTCAATTTACTAAATTTAAATAATTTACTTTTATTCCTTTTTTCATCATCAATTTTATTATTTATAAGAGGAGTTTTAGCGTTGATTTAGTTCAGATTTTAATTTGGGTTTTTACTTTTCTCACTATTATTACTTTATTCCAAGTTATGTAAACTTGATCCTATTGTCTTTGATTTGATATTTATTTTTATATTAACTTTCCATCATTTTAAATAAAGACGCTACTTTTTATTTTATTTTTTTTCGAAAGGAAAGATATTACTTGATGGAGTTAAATCCAACTACGAGAGCTAATATACGTAGATATGAGAATAATATGGCAGCGTAAGGCAGTTTTACTCTTTATTCCGGAGAACTAGCAATAGTCTAGTCTCGATTCAGAATTTTATCGGGGGGTCCGATCCCTTGGTAGGGTGTTTACATCAAATATTTATAGAGATTAGGAAGTAGAATTATGGGAGGAATCTAATACAATAAATGTTTAATTAATGAACTATATTCTTGCTCGTAATAGAACTCTTCGATGCTTGATTCCCACACGATTGCTTTCCCTTTTTAGTTGCCGTCCTCCGGATCAGTTCTGCCTGTTGCCAAATATCTATCAACGAGTGATAGCTTGCCACGTAAGCCCTAGGAATATCCCAACCTCACTGGAACTCCGCCCAGGCTCGAGGTCTGCTGTCCAGCCCGGCCTGGTGGTGGGTTCCTATCGTGGGCCTAATTCCTAATGGGCTAAGCGGCGTTCAACCATGAATCCCGTTTATGGGCTGATCCTATTATTAGGCTAATCTCTTTAAGAGCTGATCCCGTTTATGGGCTAATCCCTTTAAGAGTTGATCCCGTTTATGGGCTAATCCTGTAATTAGGATGGTCTTGTTAAGGGCCGAACCCGTTTATGGGCTAGACTACGTAATTGGGCCATGGTCTTAATCCATGGTACCATCATTACTTTTTAGTGTTAGTATTACTTGTTATACTTATGATTCAAATTCGCATACCCGAAAAAATTAAATTTTAAGCTGTTGAAAAAAGTGGTGCATATATTAAATCACTTATTATTTCTATGATTAAATTAGTATATAAGACACATATTATATGTTGTATTTTAAAATTATGGAACATTTAAAACATTTTCCGTATCTTTATCCAACTCACGAGCGTACGACACATATGTTTAACCGTATTTTAAGTAATTGTATCATATTATACATGAATGCACATATAATTGTATTGTTCATCACTCGTATAATACATGAATATACATATAATTATATTGTTCACAACCCGTACAAATATTTAAAAGCTTAAGATCTGAACATAAGTTACTATGATTTAATTACTATTTTAATCATTGATCACATTTTATAAATATTCTTTATTTTAGTAATAAAAATGTAATTATTTCTTTCAAATAATTAAGAGTAAATAATTAAGATTTTTTTTGAAATGAAATAATTAAGAATTTAAAAAACTAAAGTAAATCCGTTTGTGGGATAATTACTTGGAGAGAGCCGCTCCTGCTTTGGAGCTTCGAAAACGGCAACGCAACCCCTTGAGTCTCGTAGGAAGGCGACGAAGATGGACTGGCGAACGAAGTGAAGTCTCGATTGGTTATTAACAGGTAGTATTTCGTATTCTAGATGAGTGTTTAGGGGGGATTTTTAACAATGTTAAATTCCGGGCCCAGAATTGAAGCGTACGCCTCAGCAAAATGAAGGCGTTAGCCTTATTACTTGGGGGCAAGGCTTAAGCCTTAGAGGCGTTTCAGTGGCGCCTTTGCGTGTCAGAGGCGGACGACTTGAACGCCTTTGAAAAATGAAAAGAATACAGGACAGTTATGCATGGATCATATTTGCTTACATTGAAACTTGCAATAGTTTACGAAGAAAGATAGGTAATAGTCACGATGTTTACTTTCCTATTTGTCTGAAATCTCTGAAGGTTACAAATTTGATCCCATGAAGATTGTTAAGATTTCACTACGAAATACTCCGTAGAATGAGATAGTTTTCGAATAATTGTTTGGTAACTTATATTGAGATGGCATGTTGTTAGTGTTTCCAACAGCAGATAGGCTTCAAAATATGATAGAGCATCGAGTAGTAGTTCATCCTTTACAGTAATGATGTTATTGTAATTTAAACTTTACGCTTTGTCAATTAAGTCTGTAATTCAAACTTTTGTTTTTCAGGATTTATGTTACAGAATGAAAACTTAATCTTGGCCATGACTCATTCCAATTCTTGTCCTCGATAGACGACGATTAATGAATGTCACAAAGTAATTTGGCCCAAATGTCGCATGACTCTGATGAGCGACCTCAAAGCAATACTAAATTCTTTTTCTTGTGATAGCATCTCTGGTTGACTCTTTATTCAAGCACACATGTTTATCATACTTCATATGTGTAGGATGTCAGCAGCATAATGGATATTGAAGAAGTTGAGTCAAATCTCCATGCCTTGAGGCAGTTATATGGATTGTTAGAAAATGATGACGAGGATGGAAAACCCAGGGTGACCACTGGAACTGTAAGTCCTTTTTTCTATTTTGTGACTGGGAAAGTGTTTAGTACAAATTAACTATCCTGATATTTTTTAAAATTTAACTGTTGGTGAATTTTACACTCTATCATGTGATTCATGTGCATCTTGTTCTGTTCTATATCAATTCCTTACTGATAAGAATGATATCACAAAAGTTGGGCATTGTTACATTTGGGTTTCGCTTTCAATGGAATAGAATTTATGTATTCATCATATGGACTCATCAGTCATCAGTGTATAAAGGTGTGGATTTCACTACTAAATCTTTGATCATCTTTCATCATAGCTATTCAGATTCCCTCCTTTTCAATTTGAAATAGTAACTTGCTTAACCCCCCCTGCTGGTAGTTGTTTTCTTATGTTTGGATTTGTATCTAGAAGTTCAAATAAAAACCAAATATGATTATTGCTTTTGAGGGCCTTCCCGGTGGAATTTTTCGATGAAATTTTTTGAGTATGTTCTTCATCAAGTCTAGTACATCCATACCAAATTTCAGCAAAAAATCCAATCGGGAAGGCAGTCAAACGATTTTTGGAAGATAACTGTGTTTTATATGTATATAAAGGGTGCAGTTATCTTCCAAAAATCATTTGACTGCCTTTCCGATTGGATTTTTTGCTGAAATTTGGTATGGATGTACTAGACTTGATGAAGAACATGCTCAAAAAATTTCATAGAAAAATTCCACCGGGAAGGCCCTCAAAACGTGGAGACCGCACGGCGGCTCCGGTAAGGTATACCTTACCGGAAGAGTTCCCTAGTATGTATATAATTGTATAACACAATTAAATAAATAAATTAATCCAAAAATAAATTTGTCAGAGTTTGGACCAATGTTTTATTTTCACAATGGTTTCTTTCCTTCCAAATCTCTCCTGTATTTGCCTCTCCATCTCCTTTCCCTCACATTTTCCGCATTCCAAACAGACCCTCAGAATGTGGAGAAAGTAGATATAATAATGTTGTCAACAACGACTAACATGGATTTGATCTTCAGAAAATCATGTCTAGGCCCATTCGTGGTTGATACCTTTTGTGTTTTTTGGAGCAGTTGGATAATAAAGGAAGGCTTTTGTTGAAAAGTTTACTGGACAGCGCTACTGAAAGGCTTTTTAAGGTCCATTCACAGGTAATCTTTCCACTACGTTGTAAGATTTCATCAACTACTCACGCATAAAATCTGGCAGCTTAATATTATCTAATGGGATCAGAAATCACAATATACAAGTGTTATTTTTCTTTGTTAGGAATATGTTAAGATTTAATTCGTCCCAAAGCTGATCTTCTCAAGAGATAACATTGTCCAATATTTATTCAGTATTTCAGTGTCCGTAATTGCAAATGGCCTTAGAGAGTTAGAGTTTTGCTTAGTTAAGTTGGATCCACGTCAAAACCAGCATGGTTCCTTCCAAGACGGCCTGCATTACACAATGTGAAATTTCGAATGTTGTTCTGTTCAAGGTTTTCTTTTTGTGGATCCTATATCACACTCATTTTTTTGGATTAGGCAAATATTTGATATTATGTTATTATGTCATGCTCTTGCACTTGCAATATCTGAGTCTCGTTAATAATTTTGCAAGCGTGACACAATGTGCAATAACACCGGTTCTTTGCAAGTGTAATATCAGTTGTTATACATATTTGGAGTTGAACACCCTCCCAAGTCAATATCTGAGCCTCATGTGTTTTGTACAGCATTTCATGGGATGCCGGACTATCATAGTCATTATTGATATTTCCGTTTAAAAATGTTGCAGATCATAGCCCATGAGGTTAATGCATCTCTACAAAACAGTTCATTAAAAGTTGAGGGTTTCGCAAAGCCAGCAAGTGAGGCACCAAATTTCATCTTCTCCACCTGTGAGCCAGAAAACAGAAAGAAACGCTGCAAGATTTGCCAACGTCCCAAGACAGTAAAGCACTTCAAACCTCCTACATACCGGAAAGTCAAGTTCTCTGATCACGCATGCCAGAGCTCTATTAAAGTCACTTCAGCACAGGATAAACCAAGCAATCAAATCAGTCACTTTTGGCAGGACAGTGACCAGGAAGAAGATGAGGGATTTAGTTTGCATAACAACATATGTTTCTCATCAGGGAACTATGAAAGGGAAAACACAGTGAACGGGCTCAGTCACATTGAACCTATTGCTTCTTCTACTACTACTAGGACAGAGCCCGAGTTTGTTAGAAATCAAGGCAGCCATGAACACGAAATCGAGGAAAAAAATGATTTCTCAAAAAAAGTTTCAGAAGCCATCAGACAAATTGAATTGCGTATTCCAACGACCTTACAATTGGATTCCAACTCTGAGTCAGGGAACACTGCTGGTGACAAGTTTCTGCAAATGGATCTCCCTGGTGCTATTAGGCAGACAAAAGGATTATTACCCAGTTTTGCGAATGAACTGAACCGCCCAGAGCATGATCTTGCAAACAGAACAATTCCTGATTCCAACGGGTTTAGATTGTTACAAGGCCAAAAGAAGACAACAGTACAAGCAAATTCACTTTCTGCTTCTTCTTCTGCTATAAGAAATCAGGACCAAGACTCCTTGCCTCTGAATTCATATACCCAGAAAACAAGATACCCAAAATCAACCACACAGTTGAAGGAAAACAAAAATGGTTTGCCACTTAGGCACATTACTACCAAGGTGATGCATACGTGGTCAGATTCCAAGCATGCTCAACTCCCACAGACCAGAAAACCATATAAAGATGCGAGTAGATATGAAAACTATGGAGAAAGAAGATATTTGATCCAGGAACCAGAGGCTGAAACGTCAAGAAGCTCATATTCAAGCTGGTTAAGCAAGCAGAATCAGCATGGGAGAAGCACTTATGATGGCAGTCATACTGAGGAAGAAGACTATTTGGTGTCACACAGTGATCAAAGCTATACAAATGCATCATCTATCAGCAGTGACGCTGGGCAATACCTTTCACGCCACATTACAAGAAATCGTTACATGAATGAATCAAGCAGTGTTGATAATGAGGTTTATCCATCATCATCATCATCATCGCCAAGCAGTGGTGGGTGTGAGACATCTCCCCACTCATTCCTAGATTCTTGTTCTTCTTCCTACTCTCCTGATTCTTCGTCGTCCAATACTTCCAGTCCAGTTAGGGGGGACCACAAATACACCCATTCCAAGAACACTAAGCAGAAACGAGTCGGGCGGTGGGAGAGATTGAAGGACAAGCTGGGGATTATATTTCACCATCACCATCACCACCACCATCATCACAATAGCAACAATATCAAGAAGAAAGATGAGAATGTCACCACAAGTTATGATATAACCAAGCACAAGACACCATCATTGCTAAAGCACGAAGGAAAGAAGATTCCACATCCTCAAAGAAAACATGATGTCTATGAAGGAGAGCAGGCCGTGCAGAAGGTTAGTAAATCTGTGTATGGAAAGAGCAAAAGTGGGAGCAACTTCCAGACACTGGTGAAGGGGTTGAAGGAAGCCCGCAGTTTGAAGAAACCAAAGCCACCTAAACATGACCGCCTGCCCTCAATGAAGAGGAAACATGGTAACAATAGAGTGGTGAAGGCATCCCATTGGTGGCAGCTGTTGCGTCACCATGGGAAATTCAACAAGCCACCCGCATTGCTGGATCCTAATAGTGCTGAGAAGAAGAGCAAGAAGAAGAAGAAGCTCATGAAAGAATTTTCTAAGATGAAGTGGTGACTACTCTCTGTATTAGTCTGTACACATATAATCTCTTCAATGTTTGTAATTTAATTCCATTGAAACGTGTCATGAGCAGTGACAAAATATGAATGATCACTTGGTTAGGATTATTGTAATTTAATTCTTTTTATCTTCTTTTTAGAATTGTTATTATCCACTTGTACCAAGGCATGTTTAAATCCATTAGGGGCTTGTGTATAATGATATAGTTTGACTAAATACTTCAAAGTGATAAACCTCAAGACTCCATGGCCAATTATTTATTGTTGTTATTATTATTACTATTATTATTATTATTATTATCATTAATTGATTAATACTCCGTACATTCACAATTCTAAGGCCTGCCGTTTTTCAAATATCAACTGCTTCCTAATAAATTCATCAAACTAAGATGGTGAGGTGCGAATAGTCATTGCATTCAATGCAATAATATACTCCGTAATAATGTAATAATAACGTAATAATGCAATAAAGTACTCGAATAATATAAAATCCATGGATAATTTTTTTGTGCATCTATTATTCACGGGGCCGTGTGTAATGATTATGGATGCCCCGGTTCTAAATGTAAAATGGGGCCCTACATTAATATAAAAATTTGTAAAAAAATTTCAATCCAAATACTTATACTCAAATCAACTGTAAAAAGACCGTTGAAAAAATGATGGATCTATATTTTCCTCCTTACTAGCCAACTGTATTTCACTGATTAGAATAATACTAATAAATTGTTAAAACTTTGGGGCCCCATAAATCTGGGGCCCTGTTCTGGATAATCTATTGAACCCCTAAAAACGGGTCTGATTATTCACATTATACCACTAATTGTTGGTAAATATTAGAAAACAAAATACGCCAAATGAAATTATAATTTTTATTTGTTTACCATCAAGAGAATTTTTCTTATTAGTGGTAATGATTTTTATAATTCAGCACATATAATTACTTATTTTTGATTATTAAAGAATAGTAGCTCAAAATAATTTTAAAGAAGAAACGGGGCTTGATCTGGATGTATTTGAGGATACCAGTGTGAGCGAGAATGTTTTTTTTTTGATGAAAAACACAAAATATAAAAGCTCAAATAGATACATATATGCAATAAGCTTGAGTTTTGATTCCAGGAAAAGCTTGAGAGATACACTCACTACATTCATTATGTCGAAGTGTTTGATCCCAAGCTTTCATATATATAATTACACATGAGAGGGAGAGATGCAAAACTCAATCAATTAATTACTAGGTCCCCAACAGCTCAAATACATGACAGTTCTCAAAGATTCCTCGGACCTCTGCAATTTGGCGGAGAGAGCGGCGGAGGAGGGAGATGAGAGCCTGGTAGCTTGGGATGTGTAGGATCTGAGGTTAGATTTGGCATGTTGCTGGAGCAACCTGAAACCGTAATTCCATCTGGCGAAGCCTTGGTCTTTGAGGGCCTCCACTGCTCCCACGCTCGCCGCCACGATCCACGCTCTGCATCCTGCGCCACTCATTCTTCCTTCTTCTTCTTACACAGATTAATTAATTATCAGATCGGGAGTGATTACTGAATTCTGCGACTTTGGTTATGGTGATTTGGAGAGATGAAGAAGCTGGAGGCTAGGCTGCTGTTATATAGTATAGGTGAGAGAAGGAAATGGGGAGATGAAGTTTTCGGTGTGCACAAAACCGGTGGCCTGACTGACGGATTTGGGAAGCAGTCTGTTTTTCCTGCAAATATGCGGGCGGGCGGTTTTGACGAGGAAAACAAAATGATAAGAAGTTTTTGTCTGTCGTCCGTCCTTTAAACAGATCTAGAATCTAATAAAATTCGATGATTCAGTAATGGACACTGAGCCAATGACAGGCAAACCAAACTTCTCATCATCTGACTTAAATTCTAGAATTCTTTTGCTAAGAAATAAGAACATACCCAAAATAATATGCAATTCGAAAGAAAAACACAAACAAAATAACACGAAATTAAAATAGAATTCATTCATCTGCTTCCAAACCCTAGACTCTCTTGCACTCCATGGCGGCGGCTCGGGAGGGGGGACGAGCCCGCCGTTCATCCGCCTCAATAGTCATGCTTTTGTATGATTGACGATATCCTTCATTGATATCTCTTGCTGTTGAATTGAACCCAAGCTTTGCCACAACTTATTCACCTTTTCTTTGCATTCCTGGTCACGAGCCTGCTTGCACGACCAAAATCCACCGACAGCCATTCTTCGTCATGACGAAAGCGGGAAAACAAAACCCTAAAGAGGGAAAGACCGCCTTAAAAATAAGCCATATTTAATCTTTTAGAAACATTTGTTTATTTAAATAAGAGTTAATTACCTAAATAGGAGCAAAATGTAGTCCACAATCACAAATAGGATTGCATTGTTTTTTATTCACTGGCAAGACTAATTATGCGTGTTAGGAAAAATATACCCTTGTATCTTCTGAAATGTTTTAATTCATAAAAAATCATAAGCTATCGTACAATTATTATTATTAAAATACAAAAATCATTTTTTAAATAAAAATTTAAAACAAAACATTTTTAAAAACAAAATTAAAAAATGAAAAAATGAAAAAATGAAAAAAAAATCATTGCCGCCTCTGCCACCCCCGGAACTGCAGAACCACCACCTCTAGTCACCGGGGAAAAAATGCTACATGCATTAGTAATGTCATATTAATGGCAGTTTCAATGAAAAGTTTAGCATTATCAAATTAAAGAGTAATATGCCATTTTTTGGCATTTAAAAAAAATGTCATTTTTTTACACCGGTCGGAGGTGGTGGTGCAGGGAGACAGTGGGAAAGGCATCCGTTTTTTTTATAATTTTTTTATGTTGTTTTACTATTTTTTAAATTTTTTTAATTTTTTTTTTAATTTTTTTTATAAATATTTATTAATTTTTTATTATTTTTCTACAATTTTTTATTATTTTTTAAGATTTTATTATGAATTAAAAAATTTCCTTATGAATACACTTAGGGATATTTTGGGTACAAAATTAATGTTTAGTCCTATTTGTGAATGATTTAGGGGTGTAGTCCTATTTGTGATTTTTAGTTTGTTTTAGACTAATTATGTGTGTTAGGACTAAAAACGGATCCAAGAAATTAATATTTGGGGGGCCATAAGTCAGTGGCTTATTTAGATTCTTTTTTTTCAGTTGACTAATTTACACTAAAGCTTAGTTACATATTCCAGAAATAGCAATTCATATTATTAATATTGTTTGATTAGACTTTGTTTAAGTTATGAATATATAAGTGTATAAAAAGAAGATCAATTTATATTACGTGTGTGCAAAGATGCAATTGTAAATAAAATTTGAGAAAATTACCTAAACAGAAGTTAAACATTATAAAATTGAGTGAATCTTTTATCCTTTTATTACAGGGAAGAAAACACTATTAATCATTATTTTTTAAATTTCTCATATATTTAACTCATATTTTGAGCAATTTCCTATAAATTTTAGGTTATATATAAAAGAGTAGGGTTGGGGTTGAGGGGGGCAAGTGTCCCCCTCACTGTAGTTAAAACAAAATCATTGTAGAAGTTCGTTATTATATGTTTTTTTATATACTACCCCGTAGTATATATACAAAGTGAATTGATGGATAGTGTACCTGGGGGGTAGCTTATCCGAGGGGTTATTATGAGAATAACCTAGAGAGAAGTCAGAGCAAACAAGTAAGAGAGAGAGAGAGAGGCGATTGTATTAATGAACTCGAGATGTTCCGGTCCTTTACAATGGGAAAAGGGGGTGCTAATTATAACAACAATAAATGCGATGAGAGTACACGTGTCAGTAATCTAACGGCCGAGGGGTCACCTCAATCGGGTGGCACTGGCATTCGCATGTGCACCACATTGAATGCGGTGGGTGGATGTGACGCCGCATTAAATGCGGTGGTTGCTTGTCTCCAAAGGGAATCTTCGATGATTGAGTTGTTGGCCGAGGGCTCCCCCTGCGGCCGAGGGCGCTGTACAGCCGAAGGCTTCCCTGATGCCGAGGGCACGAAAGTGCCGAAGGCTCCTGATTTCTGCCATTTTCTCTCAGTAGCTTCGCATGCTCGAATCTGGCTGCCCTGTGAGTTTTGGAGCCTTCGGCCATATTGCCGAAGGCTACCCGTATGCGTATTGTGGGCTGTTTGATACTTGGGTCGCCATGTTCGGGCCTCATGTGCTCATTGGGCTTGATGGGCCTGCGTAGGAGAAGCAGGAGTCTGTGCGCCTGCGTAGGAGAAGCAGGAGTCTGTGGGCCTGCGTAGGCTTGATGGGCCTGCGTAGGAGAAGCAGGAGTCTGTGGGTCGGGGTCTTTGGGCCATATACTCCATCATGAATCATTAAAATAGTACACAATAAACAAAAAAATCTACAAAGAAGAGACAAATATATTATTACAAAAGAGTAAAGTTAATACCTTAAAATTGTGCCTGACATTCCTCCAAAGAATTCATAGTAAATAATTCATAGTAATTTTTTATTTCTTTCATTTTTTTAACCATAGTAACTATTTCATTAAAATTTTGAAAAACAATATTACGCTTACTTAATTTTTTTTTTTTGGGGGGGGGGGGCTAAATATTTTTTTGGGGAGGCTAATTTTATTTTTCTCATATATATAATGAATAATAAACATTTTTCTTGGGGGAGATAAACATTTTTCTTGGGGGAGCGATGGCCCCCTGGGTCTCTTCTATGGTCCACCCATGTTCTCTATTTAAATATACTCTTGCACCAGAAATGTTTTAATTCATCAAAAAAGCATAAAAATAATAAATACAAAAATCATTACTAAAAATTAAAACTCATTTTTCAGATATAAATTAAAAAAATTGATTTTTTAAAAAAATGAAAACTAAAAAAATGGGGAAAAATCACCGCTCTCTGCCACCCCCAGCACCACCACCTTCGATCACCGAAAATAAAAGCCACATGCATAAGTAATGCCATATTAATGGTAGAAATGAAAAGTTTGGCATTATCAAAGAGTAATACCCTGTTTTTTGACATTTTAAAAAATGGTATTTTTACAAAAAATGATTTTTTTTTTTAAATCGGTCGGAGGTGGTGGTGCAGGGAGGGAGTAGATGCGCTGAGAAAGCATCCATATTTTTTAATGCTTTTTTATTATCATTTTTAATTTTAATTTTACTTTGTTAAAATTTGTTTTTTTTTATATTTTTATCAGAAATTGCCCTATATAGGAGTAAAAACGTTTTGAAATTCCAAAATAGGAGTATCATGTTTT